TCCCCATCTTCTAAGTGCCAAAAAAATGTTGCCAACTTTAAAAGGTTTTTCCTGTAAGCAGTTGGGCACTTCCATCTCTGTGTTCCAACAGCACCACACCTTGTATTAATTATTATAGTGCTTATTAAATTGCTGCAATTTATTATGTTTGTTATTTGTTTCTTCTCTAGTAGATATCTCCTCAAATAATGAAATATTTTAATTATCTTTGTTTTCCCAATACTTTGGACAGTGCTTGGCACATAAAAGGATTTGATAAATATTTGTTGAATGAATGAATGAATAGATTTCTTCAGATGTCAGAAGAAACAATAAAAGTAATAATCAGATGAACAAATCCAAAATTAATTAATTTGCCATTCTTGTTACTAAAAAACTGGATCTAAGCATGAAACCTCAAAGTGGCCTAACCAGTGGATCTGAATGCACTGAATATCTAAGCCAGATAAATTCAACTGCAAGTAGATAAGAAGTGCAGAGTAAATATTCTTTCCATCACATTTTTTAAAGGTTATAAGGAATCCTCTTTATTGGATATATAAAATCCCCAGTGATGAGGATTATTGTATGTTGCACTTGGCATTTCAGGCATCCAAAAACTATTTAAATCAAACTGAATCTAGAAAAAGGGTTCAGCAGTATTCAGAAGAAAAACTATTAGATTCCTTCAGGGGAAATAAAGGGCTCTAACCAGGTTCTGGTAACAGTTAAGGAATTAAAACAGACTTAAAGCTCTAAAGCATATTGAATCAGCAGAGTCTCTGGTGCTAGCCACCAAATGAATGAGTGGGAGCATTCACTAGCCCAGCCCCAAATCCCAGCATCTTAAGAGATAAATATGAAGGAATGAATGCTACCATAATATGAGAGGCAAAGTATCTGGTAAGTCTTTGGAATCCAGTTACCAAACTTCTTTTTGGCAGTTAATGAAAATCCACATTAAAGCATAAGACAAGGAAATATGGAAGTATACCACTGTTTATAAAGCAAAACTAACTTTTGTTTTAGTGGTTGTTTACCTAATCTTATGAGAGTATTACATTTTATATTTGTAATTTTTACTTCCTCAAGTCATAATACTAGAGAAGTCTCTAAAAATTATCCATTCAAACACCTCAATCTCACAAATAAGGAAACCAAGGTCCATAAGGGCAAATGACTCACCTGAAGTCATACTGATAATCAGAGGCAGTCTAAACTCAAACTGTTTTCCAGTCTCCCCAGCTCAGAGCTCTTTCCACTATTCACATCTTAACATACCTTATTAGATTGGTTCTACATGCACATACACACACATATATATTTGTGTGGGTATATATCATATATTTGTGTATGTATCTATATACATACTTTTGCAGCACTTGAAAAAAACAGGGCGTTCAGAAATGTACTTAAAAAGTATACTAGTCCTGTAATAAAACATTCATGTTTCCTGAATGACCCACTAAAACACCAAATCTCCATGTGTATGCTTAAATTTGTTTTAATATATTAATTATATAATACATAACGGTTAAGAGCAAGGGCTGTGGAATAAGAGACCTGTTTGTAATCCCCCAATTCCAGCTCTGACGTTTCATTAGTCATGTAACCATGCACAAATGTGTTTAACCTTTCTTATAGTTTCCTCATCTGTGAAACTGAAAAACAGAACTGACTCGATTAGGAATTTGTGAGGATTAAACAGAAGATGCCTGTAAAGGGCTTTGCCCAAGACGTAGTACCTACTCAACAGCTTAGCTAGTATTATCATTATCACTGCCTACTCATCTCAGGGTTTTCCACAAAAGTGCCCGAACAGAAGCTTTCTGTGTATTTCTCATGCACACACAATCCCAATTACATATTATCTGTTCTTTTGTACACAGAATATAGCAGATTAAGAACCTTTCTATATTCAAGAAAACTTTTGCTTTTCTTTTTTGGAGATCAAATTCTTACCCCAAATTTACTTTTTAAATTCTACTTATGTCCAATGCCTATCATGAGAGTTTAGAATTTAAAAACAGTTGTTGTCTTCTGGTTTCTCAGTTTTCCATGCAAAATGAGTTTGGTTGCCTAAATTCTGCGAAAAGGAAATGTAATAGACTCGGAAAGAAAACGAATCCCCCTGCTTCCCACAGAACCCTTTCCATGTTCAGACACAAAGGACACTCTCTCTCAGTTGTGATGACAGAGAAAGCAAATTATTTCTAAGATTTATTGTGCATTTATGTTTTAACTCTATTGAATCTGAAATTAACACAATTTTTAAAAGGCCCCTTTTCCATGTATGTAATCATGCCTCAAATAAAGTATTTCCCCCTTCCCCACATTCCTTAAAATGCTGAATTTATCATAAATGTAGTGCATTAACAGGATAGCATTACTAATTCACCAAGTCAAAAAAAATGTTTTCCATTCAAGCTATTTTATTTCCTAAATCTTAATAATTTAAGAAGCTAACTCCTCTGGTCTAAATTATTTTACTAATTATTCATGTTCTATGAATGGTCACAGGACAATGGAAAGGATACCTTTAAACACATTCAATTTAATAGTCAAATATGTTTAAACAAAACTTACTGCACTTTATTGTACATCCCAGGATTCTCTTTGAAGGTGTTACTGACTGGGTTCCTAGAGTACTCTGAAATTTCAGTTGCAGAATATATAATTTAATTGAAAAGTAAATCAATACTAAAAACAAATTATTTGATCATCTTTTTATAAAAGATTAAGCAGCCACAAATTTTATTTTACCAGGACTAAAATGCATTAAATTACATTTCACTGACATAAGATTAAAAAAACCTCATAAATACAGTGCTGTATTTCACCAGAGTGAAGTTAAAAGAATCCAAACTAAAAAATATTCCCTCTGGAAAACAAAAACTGTTTTAGGTAATTTTAAAACGCTTTTGATATTTGATCTGCTTTAAAAAAAGTTCATCCCATAAACAAAATCATTAAGGGGTGCTGGAAAATAAGCCCAAAGAAATACAGATGAAAAGGTATTTTTTTCCAAGATTCAATACTACTTTTCACTACCACAAATGACTAAGAAATGCTCATAAACCATAAATTCAGCTACTCTTAAACTATATAATTCTTCTAAATCTATTCTTAGCCTAAATTAAAACCTGATATGAGAAATGAAACATGGTTAAAGTACTCTTTTGCCAACATACATTATTATAGTTCTTAAATACAATACAAAATCAAAGTTATTAAAATTTGAGTATTTTATTAGCTTAAATTGGTAATTTATGAAAAAAGAACTGGCTTCTTTCAGAAAGATTAAAAATAATTTAAAGTCACCAGAATTTTATAAAACAGATGACAGACTGGCCAAATGTACTACAATGTCTAATCTCATAGGATTGTGGATTTTCTGAATATGTCCCCAAATTGCATAATATTGGGGTTTAGGGAGAGGGCTTAGAGCTTTTGAAAAATACTGTATGGGAAGTTAACAAGGATAACTTTAAAAATATATATGTTATTACAGAGTGATACTTTCATGAGAAATATAAAGGACAAAGTCAACAGTATCTACAATAATGATTTCTCAAGTGCCACCAGACTATCCATTCTGCTAAGAAGTACTTTTAAATACATGCACCACCCAGAGTATCAAGTTTTCAAAAGCTTACCTTTTGCAGATAGCTGTACTGCTTTACTGGGGCATATATGCTCTGAAATGCACATTCCAAATTACTTAGAATTACTATCTTCCTCTTATAGAATATTTTAAGGTATTTTAGAAAGATATCTCAGTAAATCTAAGAAAAATGTTGAATAAATATACACTTCCTTTTTCAATATCCAGAATACTGAAGTATTTATAAATATGGCTCCCTCCTCCCACTTACTTCAGCTTTATGAATGGTTTCATTTTTTTTAGTGCTAATGTAGCTTTAAACATACCCTCCTGCCTAATTTGAAAGAAAAAGGCAATTATTGTAAACGTATTAAACAGCAGCTGACCAAACTAACAGTGATGTTCAAGTAAAGCTACTTTGCTTATAATAAAATCTAAAGATTATGTAAGAAGCTTGGACATAATCTTCCCAGCAATTTTCTATAGTGTCAAAGGCAATAGAGACAGCATCATTTTTACAAAAGGAAAACAAGGAGTTTAAAAAAAATGTATTTTCTCAACTAAAAAATGCCCTCTCTTTTGTCAATATTACATGACATTCACCTACTGACAAAGGAAAAATCAACATTTCTCTTGCCGGTTTAAGAAACTAAATTGGGAGCATTACCAGTCATAGACTTAATTAAGTTATTTCTAGGGAAGAATATTTAAACCAAAGAGACTATTTGAAGTTCATGCCAACTGCTAAATTTTGGGGGAACCGCCTGAACAAGACAGCCCTTATTTGTCACTCGCCTGTTTCCCCACCACCCACCCTGCACCAAACCCCCATTGTTCTATGTAAAACTCACAGCTTAATAATATCTAAACAGCAATTGCTACATTTATGTTGCAGACAGTCACTATGAGGAACTCGAGAACCACACTGAATTGCTGCTTTCGTTCTCCCAAATAAAATCCAAATTTGAAAATAAATAAATCACAAACTGGTGGCAGAAAGGATCACAGCTTCCCTTCCAGACTGATGTATGTCACTCCAGGGGCGGGTGAGGAACTCCTCAGGTTAGCATAGTAAATCGAACCCCTCCCCGCCCCAAATCATTTAAACTGGCGTTTTATAACGCATTTTTTTAAAATCTAGTACCGAAACCCTCGAAAAGTACACAGCCCATAGAGTAGAAGCTCTTTTTCCCTATCAGCCACCAAAGTGAACACAGAGGCAGCAGCAAGCAGGATTTCGCGTGGCTCTGGCTCCCTCGTACACCACTTCCTTCCCAAACCTGGCCGGCGGGAACCGATGCGGGTGTCGAGGAAGTGGGAGACCGGCACCCCGGCGCCCCGCTGCCCTCCGGGCTACCTGCCTCGGCCTGCGGGAGCGCCAACCCGCGAGGACAGCCGCACGGACACACACACTCACCCATCCTTCCTCTTGGCTTTGTAGACGTGACCGTAAGTGCCTCGGCCAACTTTGCAGCCCTCGTATTCAAACAGGTCCTCGACCCGCTCCCGCTCGCTGCTCAGCTTCACTTTAAAGTCATAGTCCATTGTCACAGCCTCCGAGGCCGGGGAGCGGGGTCGGGCACCGGGGGGCAGGGGTGGGGACCCGGGAATCGCCGGCAGCCGCAGCCCCCGGGAGCCCGCCCGCTCTACGCCCGGCGGCCGCAGCACCAGCCCGGCTGATGCGGCAACAGCAGGACGAGGCCCCGCGCGAGCGCCGGGGACATCCAGGGGGCAGCGGGACGGAGGCCGGCCGGGAGTGTGCGGACGGGGAGGCTCCCCCGGGCAACGGCGAGCGCAGGGACGGGGGCTGGGGGTGGGGAGCGGGCGTCCCTGCCCTTGTCCCCGCGGGCTCCCGGGGCGCCGGCTCTCCGCTCGCTCCGGCCGCGCGTTCTACCCCCGCTGCGGGGAGCGGCGGGGCGGCCACGGCGGGCTCTCCTCCTCTCACACTCGCACTCGCGCCTCGCCCTCTCTCACACACACACGCTCACACTCACTCACTCACTCACTCTGCCATACACTCAAACAGAAAGGCAGCGCCGCACAACAGCCGGTACCTCCTCGGAGAGAGGAGGAGGGAGGGGACTCGCGGAACACGGCCACGGCTGTCGCAAAAACGTCGCGAAGGCTCGGGCTGCCTCCGGCCCTCGCGTCTAGCCCGCTCCGCGGTGGGGGTCCGCCGCCGCCGGGGACCGCACCGCGAGGGCCGTGGGGACCTGGCCGGGTGGCCGCAGACCGCAGCTGCCGCCGGGCGCACCACGTGGGCGGTCCCGACAGTGACCGGCGCCCCAGACTACAAAGCCCAGAATGCACAGGCCGCCGCTGTGGCCGCCCCCTCGGCGACTCCTCCCCGCAGAGTGGCAATAAGAGGAGCGTTGCGTGATGGGAATGGTAGTCCCCGGTTAGATGGGTTTCAATCACTTAGGGGAAAAAAAAATTTTTTTTACACGATATCCCTTGAGTCTGATTTGGGCCATAAACTTAACCGAGGAAATTCACGTGTGAGAGAGGCTACTTATTAAGATCACATTTTGTTCCACTTTCGTACTCCAGATTTTAAAGGGCATTATCATTATCCAAAAAAGGCTATATATTTGTAAACAGCTCACGGACTATCACTTGACGTGTTCTTGTTCACAATCTAATAAGAGCTACGCGGTGATAATAACATACAGACACGCATTACAAGCATCAGTAAAAGTGAATCAGTGACGAGTGGCCACGCTACTCTTAACTAGTTTTGTTAGATAACTTGTGACAGATGACCATCCCGCTGCTTCCCAGCTATTCAGAGGGGACATGATTTTGATTACGGCCTTCTGCAACATTGCCTGTAACAACAGCAGTTTTTAGCCATGATTACAGCAATGAGTTAAATCCATGGAAACTGATTTGTTAATTTTAAGGTAGGAAAGGTGTCAGCTGGAGAAGTCCAGATATCTTGATAATAATCCCTCATTTTATCTTCTCTGTTTAGACGTCTATTTTTAATTTTTTTATTTTATATTAATTCTATATGTGTATTCATTTTACGCTTTTCGATTTCTGCCGTTTCCACTGGAGCCCCACCTCCCTAAAAGATTTATCTCTCCCACTTTCAAATCCTTATAACACTTTTTTTTAACCTTTCTTGTATTCATCAAATTCTGTTTTATTTCCTCTCTCACTAGATTATAAATTCCCCTAGGAACTCATATTTGCATCTTCCATAATAGCTAGTATTATGCCTAGATTGTGATGCACAGTAAACAGTTGTTGAATCCATGAGTAAGAATGTTTATGTCAAAAATATAATCTACAGATGATGATGCTGATACCATTTTATGAAAAATCCTCAAAGGGGCTCTTTTCTTACATAAATTTCCTTGAAGACAATAGTGACCGCGCATTGTCCTTCATACTCATGCCAAATATGTCTTTGTCCTGTTCTCAAATGCTGGATGCTTCCTCGTGCCATCTCTGACCTTGCCATCTTCCCTATCCTCCGAGGTATAGCTCAAGTGCCTAAAGTAGTCATGAAGTTTTTCCTGGTTCTTGCAACTGTATGCAACATTTCTTTACCGTGAACCGCTACCCCAGCCTTGGCACCACTGCACTTTATAACTCATGTAAAAACATCACAGCTACCTTATATTTTAGTCATTTATTTTATGTACTTAAAACAAAACTGTTCTGTAACAATGCCTCAATGACTGAGTCTCTGTCTTATTCATCTCTGTATCTCCCAAAGCACCCAGCACATAGTTTGTATAATTATACTTAATTAGAATGCATTTCATTGGATTGACTTCTAGAAAGGTTGAAATGGGCCTTAATAATAATTAGGGGGGCAGTCATTTTCAGATATTTCACATCTTGTCTCAGGCTTGCCTCTGAAGATGTACTTTTTGCAATGTTCAGAAAGATTGAGTGCTTAATGAAATAATTATGTAAAAGCCCAACTGGGTCTTCTCAGAGTTGATCACTTCCTATCTCTACAACTTCTAATTCAGTTTGTTCAGTTAGTATCAAAGTGTGCTTTAAACAGAAAGTATCTTACCTTCCATTCTGCAAGTGGATTATTCATCATCTTTATCATCAAATAGCACCTATTTAGCATCTACATTTGAGGACAGTGTTAGATAGAAGAAAGAACAAGTTAGAACAATGAACACTCTAGCCTTTTTAAATTTTTCAAAGAAAATATTGATGCAAAAATGTTTCTCAACTAACTCTGTAAGCATCCAGGATGTAGTTTAGACCTTAGAAACAACCAGAACCAGAAAACACTTTCAAAAATAGCCTTCTCCCTTTCATCATGTGAATGTCATTTGTTCTTTTTTTTTTTTTGAGAGGGCATCTCTCATATTTATTGATCAAATGGTTGTTAACAACAATAAAATTCTGTATAGGGGACTCAATGCACAATCATTAATCAACCCCAAGCCTAATTCTCAACAGTCTCCAATCTTCTGAAGCATAATGAACAAGTTCTTACATGGTGAACAAGTTCTTATATAGTGAATAAGTTGTACATGGTGAACAGTGCAAGGACAGTCATCACAGAAACTTTCGGTTCTGATCACGCATCATGGACTATAAACAATCAAGTCAGATATGATTATTCACTTGATCTTTATATTTTTATACTTGATTTATATGTGAATCCCACATTTCTCCCTTTATTATTATTATTATTTTTAATAAAATGCTGAAGTGGTAGGTAGATGCAAGATAAAGGTAGAAAACAGTTTAGTGCTCTAAGAGGGCCAATGTAGATGATCAGGTCTGTGCCTATAGACTAAGTCTTAATCCAAGCTAGACAAGGGCAACAAAACATCCACGGACGCAAAAGATTTCTCTCCAAAC